AAAAAGTAGATCATAACAATATTTATGATAATTTTCCAGACAAATTTGCCTGGAAAAGCCTACAGTTTAAGGGATATTTTATTTGATACAATATGCCAAATTCTCTACATTTCAACAATCTTGTCTTTATCAACCAAATCAAGCATTGACTTAACAATAATGTCAAGATTTTGATTTTTACCAAATAAGATAGAATCGTCTAAATTTATTTGTAATTTATATCAATAAAACACATTTAACATTTCATAACTACTAAACTAACTAATACAAGCCTTTTTATTATTACTTACAATGAGATATTTTTGCAATTACTTTGAGCTACCATCACAGCATAATATTGAAGCAACTACTTTATTTGATCCTCTTAAATCTTTAAAATTTTTACAGTTAAATACTTGAATATTATTTGGCAAATATTTGGAAGAATAGTATTAGCTATTGCAGTAAGAACTGCTTTAGGGACTAAAGCATGAAATAAAGTGTATTTAGTTTTTTTGTCTTTTTCAAAAATACATGTCATTAACTTTTCTGAAAGTTCTAATATAGTTGTGTTGGAATTAAATATCAATCTATTAACCTTTGCATTATAGCTTTCAATCCAAGAAGTAGACGATATTCTTACTATAAATAATTTAAGCACAAACGTCTTTGCCCATGATTCTTTATTAGCATAGAGCCATTGCAAATAATTAACCACATTATCATTATTATATTTTTTAAGTAGACATTTCCACTGATATTCAAAGATCGTAATGAAGCTAATTTGTTGTACTTCAAAGAAATCTCTAACAAATTCTTTATAATTATCTTTAAAGTGATTTTTTAAATTGAGAGAGATATTTTGCACAATATAAAACATACAATAAAGAGTATTTGTATTTGGAAAATCATCTCATATTGTAGCAACTAAGGTGGGATCAGTGTTAGTAAAGATGACTTGAGGAATAAAACTATTTATTACATTTTTAATTTTCAGCTATATGCTTCTTTTGTTTCATATCTAGTAGTGTCTGAGCCACCAACTAAGAAGATAAATGATTATCAACTACCAAAAAAAGTGACAATACTATCTTATAGCGATTAGTAGCACTTGTATTATCATTCAGAACAACATCACCAAATTTCAGCCATTTTTCAATCTGGTTAGGAGATATATAGAATAAATAGCAAAAACATTTACTGTAAGGGTCCCAATCTACTTGAAAATACTACCTAGGATCAGCTTCTTTCTGACTACCCCAGTAGGACCTACAAAGATGCACCAATTAGGAACGTTTATCGATGTCGATCATTTCATATGATGCAGCAACCAATCAAATCATGTAAATTATTATAACAATTATAACAAAAATTATTTAATTTTTAAGTTCAATC